CATACATATATACATACACTATTTGTTCCTTCATAATAATGCCCAGATTGGTTCTTAAGGCAAGGAAAGGAACAAGTAGCAGTATGGCATGAGACCCCATTCTATTCAATAAACTTTCAATCCCTATGTTATACTCTTTTTGCCTATAGGGGTCATTTATCCAATAACCTACAGCACAATGTGTATTATTGTAATGCACTGTAAATGCATTTCAAAGTTAACTGTAACCTAATGCACATCTACAAACTTGTGCAAGTTCTGCAACACACGTGCATTATAGGGCACCGCAAAGCACAGATGTCTATACTTTGTATGTTGCACTGCAATGTGATTAAAGGAAATTTGTGCACATCCTTTTTTTTGTGTGCATTGCGAACACATTGAATGGGCTGTCTAACTGAACGGGTGTGCTGCAGTGAACCATGTTATGGTATCATTGGACCCTTAGCCAATGCCCATGATTTACTAGATGGATGTCATGTTGACACAGGTAATCATAGTCATTGATAGTATCAGGATGGAAAAAAAGACAGGCAATAAAATAACCTACTGATTAAAGTAAATTATTGGTCAAGTGGAGTGGAGTGCCCATTTACTAACTATGCTCAGATGCAGGCGAAAGCCCCTCCATTTCCCACAACTCCCCAGTTACCTGGGCCCACTCAAGAGAGTATAAATTCTTCAGCTTTCCTCCCTCAGGAGCTCAGAGGGGCCACACCTGATGAGGCAGAGGTAGCTGGGCAAGTGATCCGGAGCCAGACGAGGGGCTCTCCGCTGTCAAAACTAGAATGCTGGAAGCCAGGCCAGAATCTGAGCACACAGCTTTTCTCCAGAAGACCCAGCTACTGGGGGGGCCTTATCAATTGCTACCCAAATACTCTAGTTCCAGTGGGTTGGCCCTTTGTTCTTAAATCCTTCCAGATGTTACCAGTGCTATCCAGGACTTCACTGAGAGATGCAGTTTATGGGGATACTTGCAGCAGTTTTTAGTTATTTTACTTCCTTTCTGATTATTTGGCCGAATACTTATTCTGTTAAACAACCTTTGATCAGGTATTTTTCCTCCAGTACCAGCAGGCTTTTTGTGCCCAGACACACCTCCATAATTATCTATATGCAAGTTATAGAATCTCTTACTCAAGTTTATGCCATTAATAATATCATATGTGTTTACTACCATGGTCAATTACAAAAGAAACCTGGTTTTCAGCTTCAAAAGGTTTTTTAAGTTTCTCAAATCTGAAACCAGTGGATCCACATTACATCCAAATCAAAGAATTATGTCAAATATAGATTGCAATTGTGAAAATGCTTCTAAAGAAGAGCATTTCTAAAACATGTTTTAGTGGCAATATGATACTTCAGTTAAACAAAACTTTGGTAAGTGCAGAATAAAATATGCATTCTTGGATATATTTTTTAGGTTTGTTAACTGTACATAGTGAACAGTTGAATGTTCTAATTCAGTTTCAACTGCCCATTGTGATTAAACAAAATCCATGGGGCATGCTAAAACAGTCCCTTTAATGAAAGACTAGCAGGCAGAAACTAAGTATACAGCGGAGACTAAAAATACACAGACAAGGAAGGTAAAAACAAGGAAACAGTTATTTATGTGGCTGTAAACCTTTCAAAAAGAAAGAAAAAAAAAAGGGGGGGAAAAGGAGTGTGGGGGTGATCCAGCATTCATTTCTAAATTCTTCACTAGGTTACTTTACTAGAGTACTTTGTATATTTGCTACCCCAACCTCTAATACATTCCCATTAATCTCCCTGTTATCCCAATATGTGTCTACTCTATCCTATATCCTCCATACTGCCATGCGAGTTTTTGAACTCGTTCCATTGTTGCCAGGTAGTTTCGAATTGTTTCACCGTGTCTCTCCGAATTGATGTCAGTTCCTCCATTAATCGAAAATATTCAATTTTCTTATACCACTCCTTCATCGTTGGTATAGTTTCCTTATTCCAATGCAATGGTATCAAATTCTTAGCCGCATTAATCAAGGGGTGTAACAATGTTCGCTTATATACCGTAGTCTGTATATCCGTAAGATGGAATAAACAAGCCATTGGTTACAGGGGCAATACAATTGTTGTAATCTTTTCGATGGTAGCCACCACCCGAGTCCAAAACGGTTGAAGTTTAGGACAGTACCACCAGATATGAATGTAATTCCCAATGTTACCACATTTTCTCCAGCACAGCTCTGTCCTAGATGGATACATTTTGTGTATACGTTCGGGTGTGTAATACCACCGTGCTAAAAAGCGGTACATTGTATCGTTCACTAGCGTGTTTATGGACGAGTTTACATAACGTCTTAGGATTTTTTGTTTCTCCGAGTCCGTCCAGGTTATCCCCAGTTCCTGTTCCCAATGTTTCAAATATGTTGGTTGTGAATTGAGTCGCTGGTTTACCAGGATCTTATAAATTTGTGAAATACCGTGCCGTATGTCGTTAGTGGAGAAGAATAGTTTTTCCATCAATGTGAGTTCTGAAATCGTGCGTACCGGCTTTGGTAGTGATACAATAAAATGTGTTAATTGTCTGTGTCTCCATGTGTCAAAAGGATAAGTCCCCCATGGAAAGGGCTGGAAGAAAAATACAGAAAAATTGGGAACAAAACAGGTTTTTTTTCTGTTTTTTTCCAAAGCCGGTTTTTGTTTTTTTTTCGGAAAAAGTTTAACCAAGAAAAACAGTGTGTGGAATATGTTCTTTTACAATGATAAATCATATATCTTTGACATGGTATTCAAACTATATAACATGAAGACCTTCATGAAAGATTTCTGAGATTATATGTAAAATTTTGTTGTCATCCAATACACGCTTACACCAGATGTCAGGCAGGAAGGGGCATCCAAAATTAAGATAGAGGCTACTGCTCCCCCACTGAAAATAGCCTCAACTGTGATATTTACATATGAATGGGCGGCGCTATTTGTACATGAATAAGCCGCGTTTCATTGTCCCAAAAAAATGTCCGCTTGTTGGTAGAGTGTTCGGGTTTGGCTTGAAGAAAAGGTGGCAACCCTAGTACCAAAACATCAAATTGGACGGGGGTGTTGGGACATACCAACTGTTCCGTACGACCGCGGCGGACCCTGCAAGGACCAGTCACAAACACCTTGCCGATTCCTGGCGGGGGGGCAAGTGAAAAGCTAGGGGGGGCAATTGCCCCCCTGTAGCGACGCCACCGGTGCATCTTCAGGGATTTGGGCCAGGAATGCAGTCTGGGATTCAGCAAAATATATCCCTCCTGCAACATGGTGGCATGGTGCATAACACATCCTGTAGCACTTCTATCATCCCGCTTACTGCAGATGCCTGCTTATTCTGTGCCATGTGAAATAATCTGGTCTTTGTTTGGTAATATTTATACCAAATCAAGAAACAAACTGACCTGTGAAAAGGATAGAAAAACTTGTTTCTATCCGTGCAAACCTTAGGTTTTTAGAAGTCCATGAGAAAAATGACATATGAAGA